TAACAAACGGAGACGTAACAGTACTATGTTGTTGTTGGGTTTAGGATTCTTCTACAGTAGGTGTCTGTGACTTGTTGAAGATAAACTCAATGATAAATGAACAGTACACACTTTACTTGTTTTAACATAATATATATATATATTCGTAACAAGTTAAATGTATGTACAACAAAGTCTTCACACTATACAGATTACAGGCATATCATAAACACTATTTATATATAGTTCTCTTCTTCTCGTCAAAAGTCCACTTAGGCTTATTCAATTACTTTATAATTTCAGTTGACAAGTTGAACTATCTTCTCTATTGCTACCGCACTGGTATTCTGTGTGTGTGTGATTCACTTACAAATGTGGCGCGAGTCGCCGTAATCGTTTGGTCTTCTTTCTTCTAAATATCCTCTGCTCCTTTTGTCAAAATGCACTCAGGCAAATTCAACTACTTTAGGACCACGCTTTTACAAAATAAATTATTCTCCTTATCTCCTTTTCTACTGTTTGTCTTATCTAACATATTAACCGTTAGGCCTATCACTTCTACAGCAGTTAACTTCACGCCGAACTTTTCCTTGCCTGTAACTTTACTCTCTTATGCTATTGTCTGTCTGTTGCTTCCGCTCGTCTCACACTATTTATATGTCTATCTATTGCCGGATTTAGACTTGGTGAGCCCTAAGCTATATAAAGCTTGGAGGCCCCTTGTTAAAAAGTTACATCAGAAGGTCTCACAAAGGTACGTACCAGAACAGGACCTTGGGTCACCACAGAAAAATCTAAAACATATATATGCCTTTTAATTATTTAATAGTAAGATATTTAAAGTGAAAAATACAAATTATTTTCAAACGAATGCATTTACTGATTACTTATTTATCAATCTGAAATTTTGTGAGGCCCTAAGCCGTAGCTTGTTTAGCTTATGCCTAAATCCGGCACTGTGTCTATCACTTATTCGTCTGTCCGCCTTCTAGAAATCTCTATATTCTCGACATCAATGTATTGCACACAACGTTCGATAGTCTCAACATCAATGAACTATAAACACAACTTCCTACAATCTTTTGCTTTTAACTCTTATTATTACAAAATTTAGACAGTAATAAAATATTCACTCACAAAATAAATTAATCAATCATATCTAAACTAAACAGTCTTTTATATCATGACA